GCCTTGTTATTAAATATAACAATGTAGGGGTAACTAGTGTAGCTGAGCCAGACACGGACATTGAGAGAGCAGCACGGGAGTATCGTGCCGTGTAGAAATGTTACACAGCTTCAAGAACACGCTTTGAAACTTCTACATGATTCTTCATCTCGTCCACAAGTTAAAATGCGATGGATTGGTTGAGAAATGTTCATGTGTTGCGGGAAGTGAGTTAGCTTGGAACCCACGGTGTGACACGCACTAGTGTCAAAGTAAGAGTTGTCTTGTGTACTGGAGAACTGGTATAAGCTGACGTTCTGTGTACGGGAACCAGTGTAAATTAACGTTCTATCAGTTTACCAGTGTAAACCTTCGTGCAGTCGATACTAAGAGTCTTATGTCGCTGGTAAATAGAGCGAAGGAGAATCCATGTTGACTCTCATCTCAGTACAGTAGACCCAGTGTCAGGTAAACAGTTGAGAGAGAGGTCTTGACTATGTAAGGTACTCCTTGGTAGTGTTGAGGTGTGACTACTAGAGGACATCCCTCGTACTGGAGGACATCCCTCGTACTGGAGGACATCCCTCGTACTGGAGGACATACCTCGGACTGGAGGACATACCTCGTACTAGAGGACATACCTCGTACTGGAGGACATCCCTAGTACTGGAGGACATCCCTAGTACTGGAGGACATCCCTCCTACTGGAGGACATCCCTCCTACTAGAGGACATCCCTCCTGCTGAAGGACATCCCTCCTACTGAAGGTCATCCCTCCTGCTGGAGGACATTCCTCCTACTGGAGGACATCCTTCCTACTAGAGGACATCCCTCCTACTGAAGGACATCCCTCCTACTGAAGGTCATCCCTCCTGCTGGAGGACATCCCTCCTACTGGAGGACATCCTTCTTCTAGAGGACATCCCTCCTACTGAAGGACATACCCTACCTACTTTCCTCCCCATTCATCATCGACTTTTCCTACGTCTTTTGGAAGTGTTGAGTGGCGTAGTGGGGAACAAGTTTCTGAGCGCTAACAGTTTGTATGGGTAAAAAGTTTATGTAGTGGCGTTTGGAGAACAAAATGTTTGTAGGGGGTAAAAACTGGGCGTTATGGACAAAATTTTGGGTGCAGTATGCCAAAATGGAGCACAAGTGGTACCTTGTAGTCGTTTGAAGAACAAAATTGAGTACAAGTTGGGAAACAATAACACTATCGGGCTCCACACTTGACAACTAACACTTGCAGCTACAAGACTTGACAGCTAACACTTGCAGCTACAAGACTTGACAGCTAACACTTGCAGCTACAAGACTTGACAACTAACACTTGCAGCTACAAGACTTGACAACTAACACTTGCAGCTACAAGACTTGACAGCTAACACTTGCAGCTACAAGACTTACACTAAAACTTGCAGCTACAAAGACTTGACAACTAACACTTGCAGCTACAAGACTTGAAACTAACACTTGCAGCTACAAGACTTGACAGCTAACACTTGCAGCTACAAGACTTGACAGCTAACACTTGCAGCTACAAGACTTGACAGCTAACACTTGCAGCTACAAGACTTGAAAACTAACATTTTGCAGCTACAAGACTTGAAAACTAACACTTGCAGCTAAAAGACTTGACAGCTAACACTTGGCCTACAAGACTTGACAACTAACCCCTTGCAGCAACAAGACTTGACAACTAACACTTGCAGCTACAAGACTTGACAGCTAACACTTGCAGCTACAAGACTTGACAACTAACACTTGCAGCTACAAGACTTGAAAACTAACACTTCAGCTACAAGATTTTAAACACTTGAGCAAAGATTTGAATAATGAGTGTGAAGAAAATTGAGGTGGTTGAAGTTGGTGGTTGTAATTGGGTGTTGAATAATTGGTATGATTGGTGAATTTAGGTGGTTGAGAAAGATGGTGATTTGAAGGTAATTGATTATAAGGTGAGTATTGAGTGTTGAAAAAAATTGGTTTTTTAGTATGTAAGAAAATTGAAAGGTGGGTATTGTAGGGGGTTGTATGTATGTGGTTGTATTGTGGTGATTGTATGTATGGTGGTTGTATTGTTGGTGGTTGTATTGTGTGGGTTGTATTGTATGGTTTGGTTGTATTGTGTGGTGGTTGTATTGTGTGGTGGTTGTATTGTATGGGGGTTTTGTATTGGTAGGGTGGTTGTATTGTGTGGTGATTGTATTGTATGGTGGTTGTATTGTATGTGGTTGTATGGGGGTTTTGTTTTGTGGGGTGTTGTATTGTGTGGTGGTTGTATTGTATGGTGGTTGAAATGTTGGTGGTTGTATTGTATGGTGGTTTGTATTGTGTGGTGTTGTTTTGTGTGGTGGTTTTGTATTGTGTGGTGGTTGTATTGTATGTGGTTGTATTGTATGGTGGTTGTATTGTGTGGTGAGGTTGTATTGTTGGTGGTTGTATTGTTGTGGGTTGTATTGTATGGTGGTTGTTTTGGGGGTGTGGTGTTTGTATTGTAGGTGGTTGTATTGTTGGTGGTTTTATTGTATGGTGGTTGAAATTGGTGGTGGTTGTATTGTGTGGGGGTTTGTATTGTGTGGTTTGTATTGTATGGGGTTTTGTATTGTTGGTGTTATATTGTATGGTGGTTTTATTGTGTGGGGTTGTATTGTTGGTGGTTGTATTGTATGGTGGTTGTATTGTATGGTGGTTGTATTGTTGTGATTGAAATTGTTGGTGGTTGTTTTGTATGGTGGTTGTATTGGGGGGTTTTGTTTGTATGGTGGTTGTATTGTGTGGTGGTTGATTGTTTTGTGGTTGTATTGTATGGTGGTTGTTTTGTTGGTGTTGTATTTGGGTGTTGTGGTTGTAATTGTGTGGTGGGTTGTATTGTATGGTGTTGTATTGTGTGGTGGTTGTATGTTGGGGGTGTATTGTTGGTGGTTGTATTGTATGGTGGTTTTGTATGTGTGGTGGTTGTATTTGTGGGTGGTTGTATTGTATGGTGGTTGTAATGTGTGGTGGTTGTATTGTTGGGGGTTGGGTATTGTGTGGTTGTATTGTATGGTGTTGTATTGTGTGTGTTGTATTGTATGGTGGTTGTATTGTATGGGGTTTTTTGGGGGTTGTGGTGGGTTGTATTTTTGGGGGATTGTATTGTAGGGTGTTGTATTGTATGTGGTTTGTATTGTATGGTGGTTTGTTTGTTGTGGTTGTATTGTATGGTGGTTGTATTGTATGGGGGTTGTATTGTTGGTGGTTGTATTGTTGGGGGTTGTATTGTTGGTGTTGTATTGTTGGTGTTGTATGTTGGGGTGGTTGTATTGAAATGGTGATTGTATTGTGTGGTGGTTGTATTGTGTGGGGGTTGTATTGTTGGTGGTTGTATTGTTGGGATTGATTGTGTGGTGGTTGTATTGTTGGTTTTGTGGTGTTTTTATTGTATGGTGATTGTATTGATTGGTGGTTGTATTGTATGGGGTTGTATTGTGGTGGATGGGGGTTGTTTGTATGGTATTGGGTTGTATTGTGTGGTGGTTGTATTTGTATGGTGATTGTATTGTATGGTGATTGTATTGTGGTTGGTTGTATGTTTTGATGGTTTGTATTGTTGTGGTTGTTTTTTGTTTTTGAGGGTTGTATTGTGTGGGGGTTGTATTTATGGGGGTTGTATTGTAGGGTGATTGTATTTTTGTGGTGGTTGTAGTATTGTATGGGGGTTTATTGTATGGGAGTTGTATTGTGTGGTGGTTGTTTGTGTGGTGGTGATGGTGTGGTGGTTGTAAGAGGTGAGAGTGTGGTGGTGAATTGTAGGTGGTTGATTGTAGGTGATTGATTGTGTGGGGGTATGTTATGGTGAGATTGTGTGGTGGTTAATTGATGGTGTTGTTTGGGTGGTTGATTGTATAGAAAGGTTGATAGTAAGTGGGAGGGTTTGGGTAGAAAGAGTATTAAATGAAGGTGTGTAAAGATGGTGAAGAATTGTGGTGGTTGAAGTATGGGATTGGGTATTGTGTGGTGGTTGTATGTATGGATTGTATGTGTGGGGTTTGTATTGTATGAATGTATTGATGGGGTTTGTATTGTAATGTGAATGATTGGTAGGTTTTTGGGATTAGTGGATTTATTGTGAGATGGAGTTTTTTAAATGGTGGATGATATTGGAGGGGTTTAATGTTGGACCATAAAAACAACCAACCCCCCCCTGCCGAAAATTATGAAGGAGTCTTCGTATACTGACGTTTGAACCGGAAAGTGAAACCAAAGACATATGAATCTGTTTCCAGCAACCCACTAAATGACAGCAAGTAAAAATCCCAGAATTTTTTCACTCCAGCAGACGGCCGCGCAGACCAACTAACTGACATTAGTACAGATCCCATAGATTTCTCAGCACCTGGACCAGATTCATGGAATGTTCGTTTAATAAAGAATGCAAAGTACCATCACACGAGCCCCTCAGATTCTAAGTGAAGTACCGGAGGCCTTAAAGAGTGCAGACATAGCTCCTTTGCATAAGGAAGGTAGTAGAGCACTAGCTAAAAATTACAGACCAGTAGCCCTAACTTCTCACATCATAAAAATCTTCGAAAGAGTGATGAGACAGCAGATTATAAATTTCATGGACCATCACAACCAGCACAACCCGAACCAGCATGGTTTTAGAACAGGACAATCATGTCTGTCACAGCTGCTGAACCATTATGACAGAATTACGGTGGCATTGAAAGACGACCAAAACGCAGATGTGATTTACACAGATTTTACAAAGGCTTTTGACAGATATGATCATGGAGTGATAGCGCACAAAATGAGGGCCATAGGCATTATGTAGTAGTAAACTGTCATAGGTATTATGTAGTAGTAAACTGTCATAGGTATTATGTAGTAGTAAACAGAGCAAAATCCAGCACCAGCGAGGTAAAAAGCTTAGGTCTCCAAGGCACTGTCGTGGCACCTCTGCTGTTTCTCACCCTCATAGCAGAAATAAAAACACCCGTCACAGTTTTATATCATCTGCAGATGACACTAAAATAAGCATGAAAGTCACTTTGGCAGAAGACACTGAGAAAATACAGGAAGATATTAGCAGTGGTTTCCAGTGGGCAGTGGAGAACATGACATTCAGTGATGATAAGTTCCATCTGCTTAGGTATGGAAAGAATGAAGAACTCTAAAGGAACACTGTATACATAACTCAAGAGGGTAACCAAATAGAACGAAAGGAACACGTGAAAGATTTGGGAATAATTGTGTCGACTGACCTTTCAGAGAAGACAAGACAAAGATCACGACAGCCAGGAGGATGACGGGGTGGGTATTAAGAACCTTCAAAACAAGGGAAGTAATGTCAGTGGCGACACTTTTAAAATCGCTAGTGCTCCCTCATTTGCAATATTGCTCAGTGTTGACGGCCCCGTTCAAGGCAGGAGAAATATCAGAGCTGGAACAAATACAGAGATCGTTTACGGCCCGCATAGAGCCAGTGAAGCGGAGGAGAGATACGTAATATATACCTGGAACGTACTCGAGAGCCTGGTTCCAAATCTGCACACTGTCATAACAACATACTGGAGCGACAGATATAGGAGGAAGTGCAAAATAAACCCAGTGAAAAGCAGAGGCGCCGTTTGCACAGTAAGACAATATTGTATCAACATCCGTGGTCCCAGATTATTCAACATCTTACTAGAAGATATCAGAAACATTGCTGGAACAAGTACGAAAGTCAACAAGAGGAAACTGGACAAGTATTAACCAGGCTGTGATGGATATGTTGGCCAGCGCACCTCCAGCAGCAGTAGCCTGGTTAACCAGACTAGCACCGGACGAGCCTGGCCCATGGCCGGGCTCCGGGAGTAGAAAGGTTCTTGAAACTCATCAAAGGTATATCAAAGGTTCTGTGATGGTGATTGTGTGTTGTGGTTGTGTGATTGTGTTGCGATTGTGTTGTGGTGCAGGTTATTGTCTTTTATGGTGGTGACTGTGTTGTGTGGTGGTTGTGTGGGGTGATTGTGTGATGGTTATTGTGTGTGGTGATTGTGTTGCGTGGAGGTGATTGTTGTGGTGGTTATTGTATTGTTGTGGTGATTAGTATTACTCACAATTTCAATAATATTTCTGGTTAAAAAATACAGCAAAGGATTTATATTTTATTGAGCAACCTGGTGTATATACCGTGTATATATACCGTGTATATATACCGTGTTGCTTTCAGCAGTAGATGTACCCAGGCTTCTTTGTGTATATCAGTGTTCCAAACTCCTAGACGTGTTTGTGTGTACACTCGCCTAGTTGTGGTTGCAAGGGTCGTCGAATCTTAGTTCCTGGCCCTGTGTGTGTTTGCATGTGTGTTTGCGCGTATGTTTGCGTGTGTTCTGTCCATCAATCTGATGGACTGAACACATCGCCTCCAGGCTGAGGGACTGATTACCTCAAACTCCACCTTATCTTCCGCTGGTATTCTCTGTATTGGACTGAAGAAGCCACTGGCTGGAGAAACGTTTCCTCAATAAAGATTCCCACATGTTAAACAGGTGCCTCACTCTTCAACCTTTATTTTAACTGCAGTGACCTCTGCTAGTTCCTCTCTCTCTCTCTCTCTCTCTCTCTCTCTCTCTCTCTCTCTCTCTCTCCTCTCTCTCTCTCTCTCTCTCTCCTTTCAGTCTTTTGCTCAGCACTTGACAAACTTCTCTGTTGTTCTCTTTTAATGTCACTTGTTCCTTCCTCAGTCTTATTATTTACGTCACTGGAGCCACTTTGGTTCAGTTTGGTTTTCAGGTGTTCTGTACAGTCTGCCGTAAAAAATATACATTATCAAAGAAATGACAGTGGAGGAGTAAGTGATAAGGAAGGAAGGAAGGAAGGAAGGAGTGAGGGAGGTTGACTGAGTAGACGGACAGAAACTGCAAAGTGATGTGCAAAAGATTGTGTTGGTGGGTGTGGTCCTGTGTGAGAGGTGAAGGGTTGGGGTGAAGGGTACGGGTGAGAGGGTGTGGGTGAGGGGTTGCAACAGAGGGGTTGAGAAACAGGTGTAAGGCTCAATACTACTTCGCAGCCCTTGTTAGTGATGGCACCAGCAAGTAGTGTGGTAGTGGCGGGTGTGTCACACGATGGTAGTGGTGTGTCACACGATGGTGGTGGTGGTGTGTCACACGATGGTGGTGGTGTGTCACACGATGGTGGTGGTGGTGTGTCACACGGTGGTGGTGTGTCGCACGATGGTAGTGGTGTGTCACACGATGGTGGTGGTGGTGTGTCACACGATGGTGGTGGTGTCACATGATAGTGGTGGTGGTGTGTCACACGATGATGCTGGGAGGGGGGATGGAGGAACCATGGTTGTATCAAAGTTAACCATCTCGGAAAGTTTGAAGCTAATCGGAAGATGCATTCTGAAGTTATTGCTGAACCCCCATCAGTTTCAAAGTTCATTGAACCATTCTAATCAGTTGACAAAGTGACGTCACTACTGCGCCAATAACAACCCAACATTTATAAGTAGGATGTCCACTGTTGAAAATTCGTGTCAGTGGCACAATACTTGTGTAGTGTATAATTATGTTGAATATCAAAATGGTATACAATAACGACAGGTTGGTAGGTAAGACACATAGGCAACAGTTAGGCTACTTTATTCCGAAACGTTTCGCCTACACAGTAGGCTTCATCAGTCGAATACAGAAAGTAGGCAGGAACAGTAGAGATGTGAAGACGATGTAATCAGTCCATCACCCTTGAAGTCGTAGATTTGAGGTTGTCAATCCCTCAGCCTGGAGAAGTTCTGTTCCATAGTCAGGAACTATCTGACTATGGAACTGTTGCCTATGTGTCTTACCTATAATTATGGTAATACCATATTATATACAGGGTACTTTACCAAGCCTTAGTTACGTGATCCCTTTGAACTGCGCAAGACCAGTGTAGACCGTGTCTACCCACCTGTTTCACATACCTCCCGCTAGATGGAATTGCTGGCCTAAGGCCTAGTTTCAGAAGTGTTCGACAAAGGGCAGACCCCTAGGTCCATCTCTCTCTCTCTCTCTCTCTCTCTCTCTCTCTCTCTCTCTCTCTCTCTCTCTTCTCTCTCTCTCTCTCTCTCTCTCTCTCTCTGCTTTGCAGAGGGCTAGTTTTAAGTTATTTCATCAAATGTGCGACATGCGTGACGGAAAGAGTTTGGAATGTTCAATTTGAAATGAGTGTGTGTATTATATAATATTTTTAAATATATATTAAAATTATATATATATATATTTTTATATATATATATATATATATTTTATTGAACTAAGCGCATATCTGACGATTAGTGCTTTTTTTTTAAGCTATCCTTCATAGTTGTAAACAGGGGTGATGGCCCCCGAGCAGCTGGTTTGTCTTCTTTGCTGCTGCTGCTGCTCTGCCCCCCCCAGACGTACGTAAGACCATTCAAAGTCGCCATTCAGGGCAGAAGCGTGCTCTAGTATACCTCTAAACTACATTTTTCCCTATAGAAAAAAAAAAAAAGGGGAGAGAAATGTGTTGAGGGCGGCGGTCCCCCCCTTCACACCCAAACATTATTAGTTGGGTTTTAAAGACAGGGTGATGATGGGGGTGTTACGGGTGTTCTGTCCCGCAACCCCCCTCACACCATGATACAACCCACAACCAAAAATGATAAAACCCCCTTACCACCATGATACAAAAAACCCTACAACCAGTACAATTTTAAACACACCTTATACAAACCCCCCACACCATGAAAAACCCCCTACCCCCATGATACAACACACACCTGATCAACCCTACAACCATGAAAACCTACACCCATGATACAACCCTAACACCATGATAAAACCCCCCCTTAAAAACCCACACCCATGATTTTTGTAAAACCCCTACAAAATAAACCCCCAAAACCCCAGATACAAAACCCTAAAACCCCCCATGACACAACCCATACACCTGTCAACCCCACACCCAGAAAAACCCACACACCTGAACAACCCTACACACCATGACAAACCCCTCACACCATGATACAACCCACCAATGAAAAACCCCCACACCTGATACAACCCCACACACCATGATCAACCCTACACACATGAAAAAACCCCTACACCCATGATAAAACCCTACACACCATGCCCAAAACCCTACACACCTGATACAACCCTACCCCCCTGATACAACCCCACACACCAGAACAACCCTACACACCTTTATAAACCCTACACACCATAAACAACCCCCACACCATACAAAAACCCTAAAACCCCAGATACAACCCTACACCCATGAACAACCCTACACCCAGACAAAACCCTACACCCAGAACAATCCTACCCCACCAAACAACCCTACCCCATGCACAACCCTACCCCCCCACCATGTACAACCCCCACAACACCATGACACAACCCCCCACAACCAGATCCAAACCCCCCCACACACCTGACCAACCCATACCCATGATACAACCCTTAACCACCATGAAAAAAAACCCCCCACCACCATGCACAACCCTAACCCCTGATACAACCACAACCATGATAAAACCCTAAAACCCCTGAACAAACCTACACACCTAACAACCCTACACCATTACAAAACCCCTACACCCATATAAAACCCCAACCACCATGATAAAACCCCACACACCATGAAAAACCCCCAACAAAAATTACAACCCACACCCATGATAAAACCCCACCACGATAAAACCCCACACACCATGATAAACCCCCACACCTGACAAAACCCCTAACACCATGATACAACCCTCCCAAAACCATGATACAACCCTACACCCCCATGAAAAACCCCCAAAAACCATGATAAACCCCTACCACCTGATACAACCCTACACCCCATGATAAAACCCCCCCAAAAACACCATGCAAAACCCTAACACCTGATAAAACCCCTAACACCTGATAAAAACCCTACACACCATGATAAAAACCCTCACCCCAGACACAACCTACACCCCATATAAAACCCCTACACACCATGACAAAACCCTAACACCATGATAAACCCCTACAACCTGATACAACCCCCACACACCATGACAAACCCTACACCCATGAACAACCCTACACCCATGATAAAACCCTTACACCCAGATACACCCCTAACACCATGATAAAACCCCCTACCCCCATATAA